GCTAGGAAGACTGCTGAACATCAAGACAATAACTATCATATCACCTGCGATATGCCAGTCCCACCTCTACGGCGAGTTCGTGTCCAGGGTTTTGGGTGGCCTTGATTTGATATCGTCGAATCTCCGGGTTGTACACGTCACCAGTCTGCAATCCTGAGTTCTAGCGGAGCAGCAAAGGACGTCCAAACTCCATCAGCTCGTCGTTTCTCTGATGACTACCAGACGCATTGTCTCCTAGCACTAAATGCACTTTATCTTCGCACATCAAGCATTCAAGCCCCTTCACTGGGGCCTGTTTCCAATGTCTCCACACCGTCAACGAGGTCTTTGCAGCTCAGTAAGAATCCCCATCCTCCCATGTTGAATTCAACCATCTCCTGGGCGAATTTTGGGCTAGTTGTAGCAGTTCCGTTGCTCAACAAGAGGCAGTCCCAATTTCTCCAAACCGCATCTGTCAAACTAGCAGCAACACATTGGTCTGTGTTGCAGCCTGCAAAGATCAATGTCCTGATACCGCGAGCCTTCAAAACACTCTCGACATTGGTCCCTCCCCAGAACCCCGACAGTCGATTCTTCCAAACTCTTAGATCATCAGGGGGGGCCAAACTCTCCAAAGCACTGCAGAGATTGGTATTCCATTGATCGCGCATGAGAACGGCGCCGCCTTCGACCGTAGATCCGTCATCTAGCGTTATGGGTCCGATGTTCGTTCCAAGACTAGGTACCTCGCAATCGCCCTTGAAGTTTGTGTCCATTGAGAAACCACGGACAATCGCAGGGGGTATAGTCTCGATATCCTCATCCGTGAGACCCCAACCGAGCCAAAGAATTTGAATTCCGGCCTTCCTGCATGCCGGTGTCGCTTGCTCGGTGAGCCTTTCCACAACTTGCAGACCCAGGCTGTTCGACGGCCGCCCAAATGCTGGGGACAGAAAGTAGTTTTGCATATCGACGACTACTAGCGCAGTCTGGTGGGATCAATGATGGCACGCGAGTCCTGTGTGCGTAGTGTCATGCGAGGGTAGACCTTGGGGCTGTTGGGCGCGGCAGGATGCGTTATGTCGTAGCCTTCCTTCTCGGAGTATAGCCAGAAGTTCTCTGCGCCCCCAATGACCTTCATTTCTTCGCTCGCTGGTGTACGAAGAGCGTTGCCTTCGTGAGTAGGAGACCATCAGACTCAGAATTAGGATGTGGATGTATGATATTGTAAAGAAGCACGGGAAAGACGATGTGCGCAAGCTGTTTGTTGCACCAATGTAATGGGTCGCTTTCGGTCTCGGTCTCGCGTACTAGCGAAACTGGAAGGCGCGTTTGGCCCGCAAACGCATTTATCATTGAGTTACTAAAGTTGGAATCAATCAATAGTAAATGAAGAAATTGTGTCATTGATTGCGATGTTCGATCATAGCTTTCACCGGCGTGTGGTAGTGTTCGTTTGAAGCCCTTGAGAGAGTGAACCTTTGTATGGCAGTGGTGACTAGTTTAGATTTGTCAGCGGACTGGGCGGCGGGGATCGGCCATTCTGCTAGCGACAAGAGGCATCAGACCGAACAGCATGTCAGCAGACCTTGATCTCATTATACCATCAGGCAACTCACGATGTCGAGTAGTGGCGTCGAGAAACGCGGGTCTGCGTCCACGGTGCGAGTAAGTAGGTTTGCTAGCATTTATCCGGCTTAGGCCGCTGCGGGTCCTTGCATCCGCTTCAGACGCGACTCTGCCACGACATCCGCGTACAGCTATAGAGCATCGAACATCGCATTCCGAGCGCTCAGAACGCGTCTAACAGCAGACTAACGCGTCTTCCAGGCTTGTGATCTGTGTCGCAAACGGAAGCGAAGATGCGTGTGGAACCACGGTGCTCAGGGCTGCTCGCCGTGCACCAATTTGAAAGAAACGTGCATGACCACGTACACGCGCAAACAAAGGTCGAAACCACAAAGAGGGTATGATCTGACTGCAGCTCTCAAATGGAAGTCTCATTGACGATAATTCAGCAACCGCATATCTGAGTATGAGGATCGGATCAAGAGGCTAGAGTCTCTGCTACATGAGCGGAACGTGGCACAACCACACGTGCGCCAACAACCGGTCATGCAAACAACAGAACATTCACCTCCAATATCAACATGGGTAGATTCGTTGCGTCATGAGGTGGAGGCTGGCCCTCATCCCCAACTTCCAGACTTCGACCCTTTTGACATGGAAAGCTTCCTACCGGATAATGATGGTTTGTTTGCAGATGACCTGGGCGCGTTGTCTACCGGCGGTTCTAGTCACGACTCTTCGACGTTAGATCCCTCGTTGCAGGCTCCGTTAGATGGCATCTATATCTCCGCCAACTTCCAAGAGGATGTTGCTTTCCTGCAAGCTGCACAATTTGGGACGGGGCCGACGGAGGATCTCAGTCTATCACCGCTGCCAATAGTAACCAGTCCAACTAGTGACTGGTATCTCCCACCCCCGGAGCTCGGAACGACACTGCTTGCGGAGTTCCTGACTGACCTAAATACCGCCTATCCGCTCTACCAACCACATGTCATTGCCGACCACCTTCGGACATGTTATGCGGGGCTGCCTGATGATTCGGCAATCGCTTGGACGAGTGCGTACATCGTCTTTGGTATGGCACATCATATGCGTGGCATGAGTTCGACTGGTGACAGCCATAACATGGACATGGCCCAGTACTACCTTGCCCGCGCTTACTCCACACTTGACTCTCTACTCACAGCGCCGCCATCCCTAGGACAGGTACAATGCCTTGTCGGTATTGCGTTACTCATCGTCGCCAGCCCATGCAGTAATAAGAAGCCAGCGGGTCAATTCGTCTCCACCGCCCTCCGTGTCATCAGAAGTCTAGCCAACGAAGGCAAGAAAAGCAATGCAACGGCACAGGAGCTCAGTGACGGCGCACACCAGCGTCGCGTTTTCTGGATCTGCTTCACCAACGACATCAGCCTGAGCATTTTAAGCAACACGCAACCAACACACCAGCTTCAAGACGTAGCCAACTGCTCCGATTTTGTAGCAGACGAGCTTGGTGCGCTCACTGCGACCGAGGGCACCTGGCGAGCGCATATCTTCTGGCTCTTCACAAGGATAGCCTTACTTCAGACCGAAGCCATCGACCAGGTACTCTCTCGCAAGACAAGTAACACGACTCCGCTGGACCTAAGCGCCGCCACAGCCATCGTGCTCGCACGCTTACAGGCCTTTCACGAGCAACATCACATCTTTCATCTCTCTGCTAGCCAGCTGGAACAGATACTATATCGAGCAGATATCTGTCATTGTGTTGCACTGGAGGCTTACTACTTCGGAACTGTATATCGACTACACGCGTTCACGGCGATGGACATGAGTTCGGAAGTCAACCCCTTCGAGCTAGACGGCTTAATCAAGATGTCGAAGATGAAGCAACACAAAGCATATCTGGAGGCACAAAGGCTGCTGAGTCTACTGCCAGTAGCACCCCGGGGCAACGTTGCTTTGTATTGGTGAGTGGTGTCGTTATCTCGTTCTAACATATGCTAATCTATTTACAGGATGGTACATCCCTATCTTATCGCAGCGCTCGTCACCATGCTTGCACATCATATTCATAATTCAGCTGAGACGGCTCCATCAGCCGCCGAGATGGGCATCTATAAGCAACTACTCGCTGATATCGATACCATGGTTCTGGCAGGCGATAACCCGGATTTGGAAGCGAAAAGAAACTTTTGCAAGTGTTTGTTGTCGACGCTCGAGGTGCGGCACAGTGCCTGCGCGATAGGCGGGAATCCTGGGTGCATCACGGTTACCAGCTAAGAACAAGAAGAATGTACGATTGTGCAGGGATACCGGCAATGTCGCCGTATTAGTTGACTGCCGTGCCGAGAAAGAGCTCGAGAACCTCTTCGAAGCTACCATCAGCCAATATGTTTGGTGCAGTGTCGGCAACAATTTCACCATTGTAGATACGGGGCCCAGGGCTAGCGCTCTTGAGCCTAATGAGAGTCATGCGGGTCGCGAGAGATGCTAATTAACGATAGAAGCATGGAAAGGCAATAAATTCCGAACAAAGACCAGTCATGTGCCTGTGTTTGGAGAAGGAAGTGTTCTCTGGTCACGATACTCAGTGCCTATAGAGGACTAACAATAACCGGGATCAAAAGAGCGGTCATTGAAGGACGACCGATTGACCAAGTTCCTGTCATCAGACGCAGGATATCTGGGTCTGGGTGCATGTGGACCCTTCTTCTTTCGTGGTTTGGTGAGTCTTTCAACCTCCTTGCTCAATCGTCGCATTTCAGTCGTACTGGTGTCAATCCTGGCCTTCTCTTTACTAGACTTCATCCCCTGCTCAGCCCTCCTCAAGGCCATTTTCATGTCCTGGTGTATGACAACAAGACCTGAGTCAAGCTCTACTTTCCCGTCAGCTATGGGCACATAGCTCCTCTCACGGATCGCTTCCACTGACCTTTCCAGTCTCTCAAACTTATCTCGCGACTCGTTTTCAACTTCGCCTCGAAAAGATTCCATAGTGACGTTTCCAATCTTCCCAAGGCAATTTTGTATTTCTTCAAGCTTTTCTCATCTTGCATGCTGTGTTTGCGAAAGAGCTTAGGCTTCATCGCAGATCGAACAATGCGGGCGTGGACTTCAAGAAGATGGTCTATCTGTTTGCCAGTAGTGAATGCGGGGTTGGATTCCGTGTGACTTGAGGCTTTCGCCGGGACGTGCGCTGACACCCTACGGGGAAGCTTGGGCAGATGTTGGCGTGAATGCGCCGAAGTTGATGGAAAGGCACCCATATCATTCGTTGATGACAGTGGAACCCATAAGATTAAGAGAGGGACGGCTGATAAATGAGGGGTTCCGCAGAATCGGAGGTTGCCTAGGTGCGGCTGAGATGCATGAAATGGAATATTTCCAAGGGTCTTGGCTACGGCGCCATAAACCAAGCGGCCGCCGGAAGATGCAGCAGAGTCAGCGGGAATCCTAATGCGCAGCAAATGGCGAGCCCGGAAAACAACACCGACTTGTTGCAATACATTGCGCGGTCACTTGGAGAGGAAGAAGAGTTCCATTTCTTACGATTCGAAAAGCTTCAGCGGACCAACATCGTCGCACAGCAGATGCAGCTATTTGAGCTCAGGCTGAAATTTGAGAACGCACAAAGTGCGTCAGACGATGACCTCAGCGATCTCAAGAACAGCCTTAAAGACTACGGTGCGAGCTATTAAGAACATTAGCGAACTACAAGAGTCATGTAGCTGACAAGATACTAGTCACTGCGATTCGAGACTACCAGTTCATTCGAAGTCGAAAGAGTGTGGAGAGGGAAGACATGCATCAGAGGAGACTTTTGCTGCAAGCATGGTTCCAGCCTAGGTTTGGGAATGGCGACGTGTTCTGGTCTCACTACGCCTACTTCGACGAGACCGCAGCCACAATTGACCCTTTCCGGAGCTTTTTGATGAGCAAACTGCCCATCTACTTGACCTACACTAAGAACGAGCGATCTGACCGGCAGGCAGCGTACACCGACGGCAAGGGGCCCAAGGATGTGTCGCCATTTGTCGATCATCTCGCGCGCTTCGTGATAGCAATCACGGGTGGCCTATTCCTCATCGTCCCAATGCTCGTCATGGCTTTCAATACATCGCAAAGGAAAAGCCTCATCACGGTCTCGTTATCGGTATTCCTGTTCGCCCTCGCACTCTCATTTGGAGTCAGAACTTCCAACATCGAAGCGCTTGTCTCAACAGCGACGTATGCTGCTGTTCTGGTGGTGTTCGTGGGGACGAGTTCTGGCGATGGGGCCACTGTGGCAGCTGCAAGTAACTCCACAATGGCATCGCAGTGACTAGAAGTGAACGGAGGCCGGACAGTACAAGGACAGACACTCAATTCTTCTACACAATCGTACGACAGCTTGACGAACAGCTTCTAATCTCACCGTTACTTCGTCGAGCACGACATATGTCCTGTCATACAGAAAGTTATCTGCGGCTTCGTCAATGCCACCCACCGTGCATCGCGACTGTGTCACTCACGCTGGAGTTACGAGCCCGTTCTAGACAGCACAATATTGGAATGCGCTGCTAGTGTTACATTACCAGAGTGCGTACATGTGCGATATCGATGGGCACCAACTTATATGTGAATTCGGGCTGCGCTTTACCGTGCTACAACGCTGTCATTCCGCCGAAGAACAAAACTACCGAGGCTAGAATGCTACCAGGGCTGCCCTTTCTCCATATCGCGGGTCAAGCACAGCTTGGTGGCATTACGAATGGTATTATTTGGGCCTATCTCTGCATACCTAGGTAGCGATAAGTGAACCTGCATTTCATGGTGAGTCTTGAGGATTGTGCTGCTCGGCTAAGTATCGTGCTTGCCGGGGTGAGACATAGGGATTGTGCGATCATCAGGCAGCCGAGATGTGATCCATTGGCTCTCGACGTCTCTCGACGTCCAAGCGCCCTGCACGACCCTGTGACCTGCCCGGTCGAGAGGCGCAATTCTGCCTTACGGAGGACCGAATACATCTCTCCTCAACTTGCTTCACAGAGTTATCAATTTCAAACGGTCGGTCTGGGCGATGGGCCGCGGTGGTTACAACGGTGGTAGCGCAGCTGTGGATGGCCCAAAAGACGACGACGTGCACATTTTCACGGCGGACCAAAAATTAGATGCTGATCTCATTCGACGCTCGCGGATCGTAGAGGCTGGGTTTTCTTTGAAGAACGAGCACGGCGCCGTGCAAAGCGAGTTCGGATACTGTCTTAGGGTGGATTCGATCGCAACAAGCACGCAATCATCAAGGACAAGCCTTGCAAAGAGAGTTCTCGCGGCTTTCAGAAGAAACAAGGCTGGATCAAAAAGCACGCCACAGATCAAGTGGGTGTCAGCATCCCATTTGCTTCACACAGCGCCCGGGGGATCGGATCTGGCCAAGAAATACTATCGGGACCATCCAGAAGCGAAGCGACCTGTTGCAGGGTACAATTAGTCGGTTCAGAAAGCAAAGATGCCTGGAAAGCACAGAGAGTATGCACCGGAGTCCATTTGGCGACAGCGGCAGTTTCCTCCTAATGCCAACTCTGTTATACCCTGGGATATTGGCCAACAACGACAAACACCATTGGTTGATGACGTATCGAAAGTAAGGGTCGACTTCAGTGCCTTTATCAACTCCATGGATGACCAGTCCTTTGCATATCTGTGCTTGATACGCGAGTACGCCATGCGAACTCTTCAAGGCAAAGCCGCAGAGTACAGTGCGTTGTATCAAGCTATGATCTCCCAACACGTTGAAGAAGAAGCTTTATCACGTATGTCGGTTATCGAATTCCAAACCGATGGTCTACGATCGAGAACGTTTACGGCCTTTGCAGAACTCAGGAACTATATGGATGGAACATCGCCAAGCAACGACTCCTCATTGAGACGGTTGTTCGTGTTGGAAGACATGCCTGTGCGATACATCTGTCTGCTAGGATCAAGGCTACGCATTCATCCTACCGTCTTCGCGCGTCATTACACAACCGAGGGTAGCAGCACAATCTCGGATAACATCAATAGTCTTCCCTCTGTAGTCCAGACCAGCACCTCCGACGGTCTCGACTACGAAAGTGACGACGAAGAGCTCCATGCGCCACATAAGAGAAGAAGTTTCACTCTTCGGTATCCGGTACTCATGCCGCATGTATCTGCCAAACAGGACTCTGATTCGTTCAAATGTCCGGCGTGGCTCAAGCCCAATGGAAGACTGAGGGACCAGAGCGCAAATCCACGATTCATAGTCGAGAGGAGCCTGGAGACACCGACCAGATACGATCAGTGGGACGCAAGGGGCGAGATCTCTGAGCTGGAAGGTCAAGTCACATATTGGTACCATACGCTGCCAGGCAGCGGCTGGGAAGGTCAGTCAGAGCTCCAACCTTGCCAAATCCAGTCCAGACACTGAAGTTACACGTTCAGGCTTAGCGCTTGTTGATCCATGCCTCAAAGATCCAGCGCATCTAGCTGTCATCAGTGGCAGTCCATACCCGAACCTCGGTCGCATAATTCGATATCCAGAACTGGAAGATCATGAGAAATCTGAGTTGGCCCCTCATCCGCTACAATGGCACCCCAGTGCAGCCTTCACAAAATACAATCTGCACGATGACATATTGATTCATTGTTCGGTGGCCAATTTCGGTCCAGGAGGTAATCCGCTATCCGTAACGCCTTTTCTACGTGGCTTTGTGATCAGCAAGTGGACCGCTGAAATGAATCACATTCGCAGAAGCTACGGCCATACACGAGCGGCGCTATTCTCAAACTCTTCATCGCATTACTCTGGAAGTGCGCGTACTTCAGTCCAAGTGCGCTGGGGAGCGGATTGGAAAGAGTGGCTCTTCGAGACAATGGCCAAATTTACAACGGACCTGTATCTCTACCGTTTGGAAGTCGAGACCAACATGCGCGCTCTAGGGATCGACGTCGAAGATGCGCAAAGTTATGGTTTTGTTGGCAAACGAGAGGCGCAGATATGGCGGTTCTTGCGTACAAGCTGTATCGATTTACAAGAGATGTTCCAGCATCTGACAGATTCATACACCCAGGTCATCGCGCTGAGAGAAGCTCAGGCGAGCAATGCGCAAGCCAGCTCTGTGCGCTGGCTCACTGTGCTGGGATTTCTTTTCGTTCCTGTGTCCGTCGTCGCGGGTATCATGTCTATGGGGGGTGATTTCTTGCCAGGAGAGAGCAAGTTCTGGGTCTTTTTTGCTGTGATGTGCCCTGTTCTGCTGATCATAGGCGCAGTCTTGGTGATGACTATGGGACAGCAGACACTACCGCCGTGGCAAAGATTCAGGTCTTGGTGCGGTATGAGTAGCTAAGGTATCCTTAACGATTCGCTGGATTTGCGGTACTGCCCATGTCCCTACAGGAAGAAGCTGCAGCGGGGTTAAACCGCAGCATTACAACCCTTGGTTCAAAGGCGCGATGATGTGGAACCATCTCAAAGACGAGACGTACTACAACGCCGCACGCTTCGACCCAGTCTTTGCCATGGCGCATAAGCTCCATGTACCGCTGTATCAGCAACCTGCTGGTCCGACCGCAGATATCGCATCCAAGTTGTTCGCGGGCAACTACCCAGTCGCCGAGGCGGGAAAGCTTGGGGTGACCTCGTGAGGTTGGCATGTCGACGTAGGAACACGCGTATTGCGTCTCTATGGCGCAGGTTTGTTCGATCGCTTCCCGAAACTGAAGCTGATAATTGGACACAACGGCGAAGGACTGCCCATGTCTGTTGGCCGAATCGAGTAGACGGGACTACGCAACGATACGACGTTCGATCGGGTGTGGAAGACGAATGTCTGGAGCACGACGAGTACATTCTTCACTATGAGGCAATTTCAGCAGCTTAGGCAGGTAAGCCCAGTCGAGAGGCTTATGTGTTCGGTCGACTATCCGTGCAGCAGCAATACGGATGGCTGGGCGTTCGTCAAGAAGTTGGCGCAAGCGCAGGTTCTAAGCGACGCTGAGATGGACATGTTTGCGTGGAGGAATGCTGGTAAGTTGCTGAGACTATGAGTAGCTGACATTGATGAAACCATAAGTAAAGGTAATCGAACAATGATAGTATTTGCCTATGGACACGCGTTGGCCGCATGCACAGAGGAGCATCAAGGGGTCGATGATGCCATGCCAAGACACATGACGCTTGTTCATGATAGGGATAGCGTAGTAGCTAGCGCATTCAGCTCGCGCCTTCGCGCTCGAACGCATCTCCCGCACAGTCCAGCTTCACACATCCACCGCCTACCATCTAAACATCTTCAGGTCCTGCGAGGCCCAATGCTTGCCTGCGAGTCGGTGCATCAGCCTTAAAGTACGGCTTCTCCGCCAACGACGTAACCCTTGTTCCGTGCCTCGGCTCAATTCCTCCATAATCCCAACTCGCGTTGTGGATTGTAATTCTGTTATCCCACAATGCCGAAGTTCCTGGCGTCCAGCGGAACCGCACCTGGATATCGACGTTGTTTTCGTACACATCGAAGAGGTAGTTGAGAATGACGTCGCTTTCAGCTTTGTCTAATCCGACAATGCGATCTGTGAAGGCGCGGTTGACCCACAGAGCTTTCCATCCGGTTGCCGGGTGGACACGAACGATCGGATGAACGCGTTCGATGTGCTTAGGGCCAGCGCTAGTATCGTCACGATCAAGGTACGGGTGCGCACTGCGGTACACTGCTTCTCTGCCATCGATGATCTTTCGGAAAGCAGGAGAAAGCTTCTCGTACGCAGCGTAGCCTGAAGCCCAGAGGGTGTCACCTCCGATCTTCGGGATGGTATCGTTGTGGAGATGGGTTACGCTAAAAGAGTCAGAAATGAACATCCTTTCAAGATACTACCACTTACCCAGCAGGTTGGCGTTCGTGTACTAGATCAGTGTGCCATCTAGATGCACCACCCGTCTTCCGGAAGCTGGCTGGCACTTCCGTCGCCTGCAGGGCGGGCCACAGAACCGTCACCCCTGGCACACCGGGTACGAATGGAACTTGCGGCTTCACTCGATCTTAGCGCGTGAAGTGTCTTTGGGGAAGAACTACTCACGTGGACTTCAATTTCGCCATAATACTCGCCCAGCTTCTTCTGCTCTTGAGGCGAGAGATCCTGATCACGGAAGAACACCACGCTTCTTTCAGCGATCAGAAGACCAAGCTCGTCCTTTTGTTGGTCGGTAAGGTCCTTCAGCTGAAGTCCAACGATCTCAGTTCCGATGTGTGAGGTCAAATGGATGACTTCCTTCGCAGCACCAAACAGCGCTTGCTTCTCTGGATCGGCTCGGGCACCTGGATCGATGTGCTCACGATCATAGTCCCTGATCTTGTACACATCGTCAAGGTAGAGTGGTTTTGCTGGTCTGTACGGATAGCCGGCCGACAGATCGATTCCCGCCTTCTCGAGTCTCTTCCTGGCTGGCTCTGGCAATCCCAGCGAGTCTTTCCGGGGCTGGACAGTATCCTTCTCCTGAATGTGTTCGTGAACGGGGATTGCGATTGGAGCCATGGTCAAAATCGTTTGCGATGCAGTTGCGCAGACCTTATCGCTCGCGGTCCGACCAATTTTATATCCAGAACTCTATTACCCCACTTCACAGGTCGTTCGCTCACAAATCCGACTCCCATGCATGGCCGACTGATGTGGCTGCGTTGCGTGCTGGTTGCGACACTTGTTGCGGGGTTGCGATCACATCATAATCTTGCAGATGACGAATACCCAGTCAACGTTTCTCATGTTATCGCTCGGAGAAACTTCGCTTCATTTCAAATGTAATCACATCTTATTCGCAAATAGGTGCGTCGGTTTTGGTTGCTGGCATCCCATGCGAACATGGCCGCTCATGATGCCATTCGTATCCACTATCGCGCTTTGTTTCTAGCTACACCCCGGTTGAGATGCTTGCAGTGCTGACAAGCGCTAAAGCTGAGGCATAAGCAAGGAATGCTGACAGTAGGTAGATGGCTTTCATGGTTGAGTGTTGAGAGGCTTGTGTGTGTTGCTGTCGGCTGAAGAGTTGGGTCTTATTCTCACGCGCACGCGCGAAGCTGCGAAGAACTTCCTTCAGCATACAAGCAATATTTCCAACATGTCTTTCCGATGCAAAAGTGTTGCTGTAATTGGCGCAGGTATCAGTGGCGTGGTAGCTGCAGCTCATCTCCAAAAAGAGGGTGTCGAGGTCACTGTTTTTGAGCGATCGAGTGCCGCAGGAGGCATCTGGTACCCGGTCCAACTTCATGCTTCTCAGACAGGACTGACAGATTAACAGGCTCTACGATGAGCGAAAGCCCCTGGAACCACCGTATTCGGGAACCAAAGTGTCCAGAGCCGATAGTGTCCATGCGACGGAGGAGACGGAGGATACAGAGAGACTGCTTCATGCGCCACCTGGGTAAGTCCTGCAAAAACAATCGTTAAACGCTGCTCTGGACTGACTGGTCACACGCAGTCCATGCTATGTGGGCCTGAAGAACAACGTGAGCACGCGCTTGTTGGAGACCACCTTGAATCCGTTCCCGCCTGGGACTGAGGATTATGTGACGCATCAAGTCTTGTGCGACTATATACAAGCTACTGCTGCCTCGACGGGGGTGCATGGGTTAACACAGTACGACACCGACGTGAGACGCGTTACGAAGAACGGCAAATCGTGGACGGTCGAGACTGTGACTCTGCAAGAAGATCTGGACGGTGTGCTAAAGCGACATATATCCTCTAATGTCAGTATCATCCTCATGTTGGCTGCACCTGCAGGTTGCTAATCTTGGGTTAGGACTTTGATGCTGTAGTGATTGCCTCTGGTCATTACCACACACCAAGAGTTCCTGACACGCCTGGACTGGCAGAGTGGAAGCGACGATTTCCTGGTAGAGTACAGCATTCGAAAAGCTACCGAAGGCCCGATAATGCCCAAGATAAGGTACGTGCGCTCCAGTCTGAGCAAAACGGCGTCGTTGTGATCTGATACCATGCCAGAACTATCTACTTGTCGGTGCAAGTGTATCCGCAACAGACATTGCCCGCGAACTGAGCCCGTACGCAAACAAGATCTTACAGAGCCAAAGGAATGGCAAATTTGATCTACCTCCCAGCATGCTTCCCGACAATGCATTTCGCATCGAAGAGGTGGCATCGTACGACGAGCCACGTGCGAATGCATATGCATCAGCGTCACTGAACCCCGACGAAGCGATTCCGGCAACCGTCACATTGAAATCAGGCGCAAAGATCTGTGACATCGACCATGTAATACTTTGCACTGGCTACTATCTCACCCTACCTTTCCTACCACAGCTCACCTCGGACGAGACGCCAGTCGAGCGTGCCGACGGCGCGGTGTTGGTGACGGATGGTACACAATTCCACAATCTACACAAAGACATCTTTTACATCAACGATCCGACCCTGGCCTTTGTTGGAGTGCCTTTCTTCACGGCCACCTTCACGCTATTCGAGTTTCAAGCTATGGTTGTTGCAAAGGTGTTCTCAGGCCAGGCCAAGCTTTCCAGCAATGATGTTATGCGGTCGGAGTACAACGCACGCGTGGGGAGTAAAGGTTATGGCAAGTCGTTTCATAGTCTGCGGGATCAAGAAGCGAGCTATGTCAACGAGCTTATGGACTGGGTCAATGCTGATCTACAAGAAGCCGGTAAAGATAAGTTGCATGGTCATACCGAGAAGTGGCACCGCGCAAGGGCAGAGCAGCTTGAGAGGATGAAGGCTTTCTTTGCTAACCCCATACGTGAGAAGCGATTTGAAGCGACGTGTATATGATATACTGGATGAATACAACATGTCTCAATCGCAAAGATCAATCCGCGCAGAGAGCCAGCAGTGCAGACGACCTCGGGAGCTTTCTACAGTCACATGATCAAATGAAATGTGTTGAGATTCTCCGCGTTTTTCGGCACGGTTATTGCGCGACTCAGGCACGCAATCTGCATGCCTGATCACGACACATGACGCCACACCACTCCCATGCATCACGACGATCTTGAGCCTACAAACACCGGAAACGCAAATTCACGCTCGTGCTTATCAGATTTAGACTGTCTACATGTCGCACAAACCCCACGCGAACCCTGTCATAACGCCATACCAGCCCCAGTATGTCGAATCGCGCTACGAATCCTACGGCGCAGTATCGACTCGCCACTGACGCGCCGAGCGCCATGCTGAACGGGTAACCTCGTAAACGATGCTTAGCGATGGCATAGAAGGCCTTGTGCTGCTTGTTCAATAAAGCTGAGGCTTGTGCCGGTGCCTCTTCAGAGACCAGACACATGCTTCACACTGAAGCCTCACGAAGATGGGTCAACCTCAGGACATTTCGACGGAAGCAGTCACAGCTACAAATGTCATCCAAACCAACGAAGAGCTGAAGGCGAAGCCGCATAAGTGGTACTACTACCTCTGGGATACCTTGGACAAGCCGAAAGAAGAGCGATGGTTCATGTTCAAGCTCGACGCCGCTCTACTCACCTTCGCGTCGTTGGGGTACTTCATCAAGTACCTTGATCAGATGAACATCAACAGCGCTTTTGTCTCTGGAATGTATGTATCCGACCTCCGTTAGCGATGCCTGGCTGACATCAGGGTAGGAAGGAAGATCTTGGGCTTTACGGCAACCAGCTCAACTATATGCAAACTTGTTGGACTGTGGGCTATGTCATCGGCGAGATACCCAGCAACATCATTTTGACTCGCATTCGACCGTCGATTTGGATACCCGCAATGGAGGTATGATTCTGCAACACCGTTCGGTTAGGAAGTGAGTACTGACACCGGTAGCTTACTTGGGCTGTCTTGACGTTCTGCCTTTGCCGTGCCAACAACGCCGAAACAATCTACGCTCTACGCTTCCTTATCGGCCTTGCCGAGAGCACTTTCTACCCAGGCATGCAATACATCATCGGATCGTGGTACCGGAAGGAAGAGCTCGCCAAGAGATCTTGTATCTTCCACACCAGCGGTGCCATCGCGACCATGTTCTCCGGTTACCTGATGGCCGGTGTGTACAAGCTCGACGGCAAAGGCGGTTTCAGGGGCTGGCAATGGCTCTTCATCGTGGATGGGATAATCTCTCTCCCTATCGCGGTCCTCGGCTTCTTCTGTCTGCCCGATTTACCAGAGATCTCGAAGCCCTTCTACCTGACCAAAGAGGAGGTTGCATTTGCGCAGGAGCGCATGCGACTCGAAGGCCGGCAGAAGCGGAAGCCATATACCCGAGCCAAGATACGGAAGATCTTTACTTCCTGGCACATCTGGGCTCTCGTCCCGCTTTATGTGTTCTTCAATAACGCTAGTATGGGATCGCAGCCGATCTTTCAGCAGTTCCTCAAGGCGAGTAAGGACCCGAAGTATACCGTCAGTGAGATCAATACCGTAAGTTCCACCATATCGTCGCAAGGAGGAGCAGTGCTGACGATATGGGCAGTACCCGACAACGACCAATGCCGTGCAAGTCGTCACAACACTACTATACGCCTGGACGAGCGACAGTATCCTCAAAGGCTCCAGATGGCAACCCATCGTCTTCGGCGGCTGCATGAACATCATCTGCTCCACCAGCCTCGCAATCTGGGATATCCCCATCAAGTGGAAGTGGGCTTGCTATATCCTCTCCGGTTTCGGTGGCGGTCTCTCTGGCTTGTGCTTTGCATGGGCACACGAGATATGCACACACGATAACGAAGAGAGAGCCATTGTTGTCGCGGCTATGAACGAGATGGCTTATGTGATACAGGCTTGGCTGCCGCTTCTTGTTTGGAGGCAGGTTGAGGCGCCGCAGTATCGGAAGGGATTTATTACGGTTGCGTTCTTGAGTGCGGCGCTGATTGCGACTGCGCTTACGATTCGACTGCTTTATGCGAGAGAGTTGGTTAAGACGGGTGAGGGTCAGGCTTCTGAAAGTGAGGAACGGACGAGTTCTGATGGAGAAACGACGGGTCTGGGGAGCGATGGGGATGTTGGTCAGATCAAAGCGCCTTGAGAAACTGTAATTGCTATCAGGTCAATTCTGGGTCTCTTACAGTGTCATTGCAGTTGTAGCTTTCCATCTCCATGATTATTGACTATCGCATTACCTAAATAAGACAAAAGGTCTGCTCCTCCGGTATGTCCACTGCTGGACCCTGAAAAATCTCTCCGTTCATGATCTCGTCGACGTAAGCCTGACCCATGAATACGTATTCATCTCTTCTAGGTCGCAATACATAGGGTGTGTTACCACCGTATAGCACTACCACGATATCACCGGGCCACATACAATGTGGACCCAGGCCGTATGAGCCTCTCTCTGTCCAAAACAGGCGTCGTTGTTCGCAAGCGGACAAAGTGTCTACTTGAAATTGAGATACGCCGGCGTCGCGTGTGTACCTAATCTCGTCTCCAAGCTCTAGCGATAGTGTCAGTCTCAGCAAGAACTCCCAGCCAGCTCTATAAAACCGTGCTTGGTCCCTCCTGTCCAAACATTGAACATGTTCACTGGTCCTACCCCAGCACCCTGCTGTCAACGTTCTAATGAAACGTTCTGAGCTTGACTCTTTGCCTGTGTCTGCCACAGCTTGGATAATTGGATGTATCTTGATTGGGTTGTGGATGGAAGCTCTTGTATCCGGAGTATCTCCGCCGATAACTCCATCATCATCGGCATGCTTGGGATGATTGGCAAACTCAAGAAGCTTCCGATTGTGATAGTCCATCACGTCACCGCATTCGAGAACTTTTCCATAGACTACGCCCTTGAGACAGAGATAGGTCGGTTGAGATGGATGCGCAACGGTGCTGGCAGTTACATGTTGTCCGCACGCGCTCCAAGGACAGTCATCTTCAACTCCCAGCTTCTGCGCAACTGCAATGTCATCCCATCGCGGAGCCCATGATCTGTATTCGGAATATCCTGGGTATTCCTCGGGGTTCTCATAGTCATCAAGACCAGGCCCTTCATAGTCGACCGGATGTGTAATGTGGGCAAAGGCGGTCAATCGCGAGTATAGTCTGATAACAGCCAAGACTGTGTCGGCGTATACTTCACCAATACTTTTTGCGTAATCTACGCCTAAGGCATCGACTTCGCACCTTGGTGAGACAATGTTGAGAAGGCCATACACTTTGTCTCTGTTGTTAGAGGCTTCAAACATGCGGAAATGATCTAATGCATCGAGGAGGTGGTACATGCTCTTGTCACGCAACATATCCGCGCTTTGAGCTTCGATCTGACGCAGTACGGATACATCAGTGTCGCCGCCTTTCTCTTGCCCTGTTCTATTGCTCTTGTCAAAAAGGTATGAGGCACTCAGAGCTAGGTCCGACCAAGAGATTTCGTCACCTCCCCAGATGATCTGAGCATCTGTGGCTAAGCGAATCTCTTGAATACACCATATCCTGGAGAACCAGGGCCGATCGTACAGTTCCTTGAGACTGCTCAACACGAGTGGGCGGAGCAGCCCTTCTGGCAGCTCAGCATCTTCATGTTTCGCTGCATAATCCGTAGTTATGTTGTGCCTTCGATCGTAATCATGGCAAGCGTCGGCGATCGTTTTACTGGTCTCGAACGAGAGTTGGGTCTGTTGCGCTTCTCCATGCCCTAACCAGACAACGACTCTTCTTGCCAAGGAGTAAATACTACCCATCATCGGCACTTGATGACTCTTCTCTGCGTCATCCGCCTGGTTGATACAGATTGCATCCGCCCAGATAATGCGCTCAGCTTCTCGATAACGTAACCTTCTCAAGGCCTGCGAAAGCGATGATCCAACTTCGATATACTGACCATTACACCATATGTTGGCACGTGGTGTTGGTGCACCCCACACATAAGACAGCGCTTCATACTGAGGTGCCTGGTCAATATTGAAAGAGCGGCATTCGCATCGCAATGGCTCCTCTTCATCGAGCGTAGGAAAGATTGTGAGAAGTCTGAACGTTCGCCCACCCAAAATCCTTTCCGCATAAGCAAAAGTGGCCGACATTTGGTATTTGGAAGAAGATCGAACGCGAAAGTGTGGTTACGAGCATGAACCCTGACGAACACTCTTAGAGCATTACGAAGCGTGCTACGCTCGCTCGCATATGTCCGATGCGTATGTATCGCAATTCGGTACGTGCGTTGCGTGTACCCAAATCACAATAAAGTGGCTGATAGACGCCGGTGATCGAGGACGGCAGACCAGCCGCGTCAGGCTGACAAGTCACCCGTCGCAGGAATGGGGGGTTGTGTCGATACTCAGATGCGTGAGAAAATCCGGGCAGCGCCGATGACGTACACCGCGTTCGTGACGAGGTTTGCATGCGGTGTCCTGGGAGGGTAGGTGGGAAGCAGAGGTGCGTCCTGTAGGAGGTTGGGAAGTGGCACTACGATAAGACCTCGGCAATGTGCCGCAAATGGTACTGACATGTGGACACCGACACTAACGTATGAATTTCGTGGTCGCCCTCGTGGGGAGCTGAGCGGTGCGCCAAGCAACGCCATCAACCGCAAGTTCAACCGTAGCTCAATTATCTGCCGCTGTCACCTACCACTGCCATGACACATTTCGGTCAATCGCCGGACCATACCACCCCTTTCCAGATTAATAATCACATATCTCGTCATTGCGATCCGCAGACTTGGTGAACGCGACGAATGCCATCTGGAAACCTTACCTAGCCAAACTTCCGCCTCAATGCCGGCCTCAGGCGATCCATGAGCCAAGTCCGCGGTATACTGACCCGCTTCCCTCATCCCATGTCGCACGTGCGTCGTTCAAACGCCGGTGCCTGGGTACGGGGCACGCCCACATTCTATCATCCATGTCATTACGGGAGCTTGCTATAGGGCATTTTATACGAAGTTTCAGCAAATGTCCAGCCTTATCTATTGCGCCCCTGTGCTAGCTAATGCGGGCTGGTCAGACTAAGCGAAACCACCTGCCCTTTTGCGAACCCTCACCACCACGCTCAAGCACGTTGGGGCTTGCCAGATTATTGTATTATTTTCATTGGTCGACAGGTAAAGAGGTGCTGGAGGAGTTCTCTCCTCGCCGACCTTCACCGTGCTGCAAAGAGTCACGATTGTCCTGCTGATACCGATGTTGATGCTCCTTCGGACGTCATGTGTGAATGTGGTAAGTGCGCTTTGATCTGCCAACGGTTTTGCGGCCACGTGCGCTACCAAGGGAACTATGGGAGGATCAGTATGATCACTGCGGCACGCTCCATGAGTGGAGTGTACTTCCACGGCTACTGACGATCGTAACAAAAAGCAATGCGCTCATCATGTTCGATTTCAAACGTGACTGGGACTCAAGGCGCAATTGACTTTGCTTACCCAAAGATGGATGTTTCCGTTAGAGGCTTCAACACAGGCCATCCCAAGTAATCATATGGCGGGCTAACAAGTCGAAAGCCACATGGAAAACATGGAAGACCCGGCCCCGGGTGCCTTCAGCCGCACAAATGTGAGCAAGTGTCTGGACCAGTAGCGACCCTCGGGCGATGGTGTCGTTTCAAGCAGGTGGCAGGCGAGCGCCACTCACACTATGCGCGGGACGTGCGTAGCTCACTTCAAGTAAGTTTCAACTCCTGCTCCTACAGGTCGCGGGGTAGTTGGTGTGTATGCCGGCTCCTATTACGAGCATGCCGGTTATAATGGCCGCGGGCGCTCCCGAGTGATTCAGGAATGCTTTTCTGGTACCCGCGGAGGACTTATGTTGTTTTTGCGGCTGTCTTTGCTGGCGTTTACTCATCATGACTTCGAGATTTCCTACCGCGGAGGAGTTCGCATCGTTTCCGCCGCCTAACTATGTCGACCCGGCGAACCACCTCACATTGGCATTGGCGATACTGGTTCCACTGACTGTCCTCGTCGTTGGGTTCATATCATGTCGATTTTACTGTCGGACAGTGCTCGTCAATACATTGGGATGGGACGACTGGACGATGCTGATGGCAGCCGTAAGTGGCAGAAGGATTTGTTTGGCGAGCTGAGAGTAGAGTGCTGATCCTGTATAGGTGATGTCGGTTGGAAGCAACGTCATGCTCATTATATCGATGCTGCCAGATTACCAAATGGGCTACCACTTATGTGAGTAGATCATGACTCTGTTACACGCGACATAGCTAATACCAACCAGGGGACGTTCGACCTGAGCGACTTTTCGGGACGATGAAAGCTGCTCAAGTACGTGGCGCGTCACGAGGTGGTTTTCTCATGCTCACAACAGTATAGATGGGCATGTCGACTCAACTGCTCTTCACGGCAATCATCACGTTCATGAAGGTCGCAATTCTTCTCACCTACATACGTAAGTGCGCAGCATATGCAAAATTCAGAGAGTGTACTTACTGACCGCTTTCCAGGCATATTTCCGTCGAAGCTCGACAAGTGGTTCTGCCGCTTGATGATCTTCTACACGGTGACTCTGAATACGGCCTGCTTCTTCATCACGCTGTTTCAATGCTCGTAAGCATACGCTCACCTCACTTATTGCACTTCATGCTAACAATCAGTGTAGACCCGCCAGCACGTACTGGGAGATCTTCAAGTACATCAACACGGCGAAGTGCCTTAATATCAAGGCGATCTACTACTTCCACTCGGCACAAAACACATTCAGCGACTTCGTCATCTTCCTATGGCCCGCGAGAAACCTTTTGAACGTCCAAGTATCGCTCCGTCAGCGCGTAACTTTGACGAGCATGTTTTCGCTTGGTGTCATGTAGGTCGACCTTTCGCGATCTACTTTGGATCAGGCTGACATGCGATTAGTGTATGCATCGCCGGCGTCGTGCGACTTTACTATACACACCTATACCTCGTCTCCTACGACGTCTTTTGTGGGTCACCATCGAATCACAGCTGTACGCAATCACCAACTAACAATATACAGGGTATGGAGCGACCACCTTCGTCATCATGTCGGTAGAGAGCGGTGTAGGTGTTATCTGCGGCTGCCTCCCAGGCTGCAAGCCCCTCATGAACAAACTGTTCCCACGCGTCTTCGGCAACACGTCCCAAGCATCGTCCCGCCGCCGGCCATCAAACAACTTCCTCGGAGGCAAATTCGCACCAACGTCATCTTCATCGGCAGGAAAATCCGAGCAGGGGTCATACCGCATGAAGCCTATCCAGTCTCGTCCCGAAATACGGCGCGGTGCGACCATGGAGAAGCGACCACAGCCAGACGTTGAGAAGCAACTCCCTGCGCCCCCACAACCGTCGCACCAAGGGCTGCGGCCACCCAGCCGAGCGGCTTTCACCGGAAGGAGACAAGGAGATGCGTATAGAGAGCTACAGGGCAATGGAAGTGATTCGAGTGTAGAGATATTCCTTTTGCAGCGTAATTAAAACATGTGCACCCTTCATGGGGGACAGAAAAGATTGAGATAGACAAAAGAATGTCGGTGCTTTTCACTTCCGCACCGCCCCAATGACCCCAGAAGTTCATCATGCCGCCAACATCATCGACTGCTCTTCTGTTCGCCAGATGGTTCTTTGTACCACTGCGGGCACTAGAAGCCCGTTTGACCCCACCGCTGAGTGCACAAATAACGTCGCGTCGCGTGTCAGAAGTGTCGGCGGGGGCGGATAGCTTGCAGCTTACCCCACTTGGCGCGTTTGCTACCTCGCCTCATTGCGTCTAGTCGTCTCGTCATTTCTCCGTTCAGCCTGGCCGCTTCTGCCTTGCGGAAAACAAACGAGGCATCGCCAGCAAAACCATCTTAACTCCCGTACATCAGTTGTGTTTGGTATAGCTTTTGGTGAAGCACATTTTCTCTCGCTTATCGTGTCGACTGTTGTCGAGCGCTATTTTCTCGTCATCTAGTCCGAACGCACACACTGAAGCCATTCAACAATGTCCGCACCACGAGGTGGCGGCGACAGAGGTCGAGGCGGTTTCCGCGGTGACCGCGGAGGCGGTCGCGGAGGCGGTCGTGGAGGTGGAAGAGGCGATTTTGGAGGTCGCGGAAGAGGAGATGGTGGATTCCGTGGAGACCGAGGTGGCGGCTTTCGAGGCGATCGAGGTGGAGGCGGAGGTCGCGGTGGTGGAAGGGGTGGTCCACCTAGTGGTCCAGTGGAGAATCAGGTATTCTCGTAAGTCGGATTCCGATTCAGTCGAACACGATGTTAATCGGCTGCATAGCAACGCTGCTCCACAAAATCCCAAAGTCGCCAAGACCGAAGATGCTATGCATCCGGTTAGCAAGAAGACGCTCGATCTGAGCACCTTGAAGCTGTCGGAAGGCAATCCTACCAGGCCTGGATACGGCACTCGAGGTATCAAGGTGGAGCTCACTGCGAACTATGTTGAGTTGCTGCCACCATCGAACATGGTGTTGCACCGGTACGATGTCGATGTCCAACCGGATGCCACTGGTAGGAAGCGTCATCGGGTATTGGAGCTCTTGCTTCAATCACCGGAGATGACGCCCTATAAAGGCGACGTCGCGACTGATTTCCGTCAAACCCTCGTCTCCAAGACGAAGTTCAAACATGACGAAGACATCATCGAGATCCAGTACCGCAGCGAAGGTGAAGACGAGCCAGCTGCTAACGGCACGGTATACAAGATCAAGGTCAAGTACATCCGAACGTACACCATCGGTGAGCTAGTCGACTGGATGAACTCTACCAACATCAGTCAGTCTTTTGGTGACAAGCAGGAATTGACGCAAGCGCTCAATATCTTCTTGAACCACTACGTGAAGTCAGCGAACAACCTAGCCACGATTGGCTCATCGAAGAGCTTCTCTCTCAACCAGAACGCAACGAGAGGAGATCTTGGTGCTGGCCTGGAGGTCATTCGCGGCTTCTTCTCAAGTGTGCGTGTTGCAACTTGCCGTATCTTGGTCAATATCAATGTCAGTCACGGAGCCTTTTATAATCAGGGTCCTCTGCCAGGTCTCATGCACAGCTACGGTACACGAAACACCATCGCTTTGGAAAAGTTTCTCAAGCTGGTCCGCGTCCAAACGACCCATTTGGCTGAGAAGCGGAACAAAGCGAGGCAGGTCATTCCCCGTATCAAGACCATTTTTGGGCTTGCGAGAAAAGATGACGGCCATAAGCTGGCAAACAGGCCACGTATCAAGGGCCACGGCGCAGGCGCCAAGGATGTTGAGTTCTGGCTCGATGCCGATGCCGGCTCCTCTGGTGCGCCCAAGGCGGAGGCGGGTGCTGCAAAAGGTAAGGGTAAAGGAAAGCCTCAGCCGAAGGGCCCAGCGCCTGCTGGGTCAGGAAAGTATATCAGTGTGTTTGACTTCTTTAAGACAAGTATGCTACTCTCTTCCTCAATTGCGTCACGGTACTAACAGCATATAGCATACAACCGTGTCCTCCAGCATCCCGAGCTTCCTGTTGTCAATTGCGGCAACCGGGAACATCCCATGTATCTCCCGGCAGAGGTTTGCGTTGTTCTTCCGGGTCAGCCATCCAAGGCCAAGCTCGATAGTGGTCAAACACAGACCATGATTCGATACGCTGTGCGCAAGCCGTGGGAGAACGCGAGGTCTATTCTCAATGAGGGTGTATCGACCGTCGGCTTGGACGAGAATACAAACCTTCTGATGGTAAGTCTTCAGCCCACCTTTTGTCAACCCTATGCTAACCCGCACAGCGGTCTTTTGGTCTGACGATTACTCCCGGCCTTCTCAAAGTCCCCGGACGCATTCTTAATGGCCCGAAAGTTATCTACAAAGGCAACAAGACAGCAGATCCGCGTTTCGGCAGCTGGAACATGATCAACATCAAGTTCAATATCGGTGCCAGTCTTGCCAAGTGGTCAGCGGTTATGATAACGTTGCCCTATAAATTAGGATCATTCGACGGTCAGGGTCTCGCGGCGGTAATGCAGGAGTTTCATCAAGGCTTGATCAAGATTGGTGTCAATGCCAGCCCCCCCCTTCCTCCACAGCGCCTTCAGCTGAACGGCCCTGAGGACGCTAGTCTCGGCCCATACCTACAAAAGGCAGCCAGTGGTCTGGATCTCTTGTTCATCGTTTTACCGGAGGCCAATATACCTCTGTACAAGCGTATCAAGACTCTCGCGGACAAAGATTATGGTCTACACACTATCTGTTCGGTGGGATCGAAGCTTGCGAAAGACCGTGGCCGCGATCAATACATTGCCAATGTTGCGCTGAAATTCAATCTGAAGCTTGGCGGCACCAACCAGGTCGTCGAGAACAAGAATCTGGGTATCATCGATCAGAACAAGACGATGGTAGTCGGCATCGACGTCACCCACCCTTCACCTGGTTCAGCTTCCAATGCGCCATCCGTCTCCGCAATGGTTGCTTCTGTCGACAAAACACTCGGTCAATGGCCCGCCACTCTGCGCATCCAGCGCGCAAGACAAGAGAACGTTGATGACCTCGCTGAGATGCTTAAGTCCCGTCTCAACCTCTGGAAGACCAAGGGCAAGCACACCGCATTCCCGGAGAACATCTTGATCTATCGCGACGGAGTCTCAGAAGGACAATACGACATGGTCCTTTCACAAGAGCTGCCTCAACTTCGAAAGGCATGTGAGGCACTGTACCCAGCGCCAGACACCAAGAAGGGTCTCCCCCGCTTCACGGTCGTTATCTGTGGTAAGCGACACAAGACTCGCTTCTACCCCACGAACCTGCAAGACTGTGATCGCTCCGGCAACACGAAGCCCGGTACCGTCGTTGATCGTGGCGTTACGGAGGCCCGCAACTGGGATTTCTTCCTACAGGCCCACGCCGCACTCCAGGGTACAGCGCGCCCTTGCCATTACTACATCGTCCACGATGAGATCTTCCGCCAGATCTACGCCAAGCAGATTCCGCCGCCATTCACGAACATTGCGGACATTGTGGAAGATCTTACGCACAACATGTGTTACCTATTCGGTCGTGCGACGAAAGCAGTTAGTCTATGTCCGCCAGCTTACTACGCCGATCTGGCATGTGAGCGCGCACGTTGCTACTTGGCGAATCTGTTCGACACACCGACACCGAGTGCGGCACCTTCTGTCGCTGGGACTTCGGCGGTTGGGGGTGTGTCGCTGGACCCCAGTGCTTCGGATGTAATGATTCATCCCAAGATTAAGGATTCGATGTTCTACATCTAGGCCACCATCACTCCCTGGCTTTGTTGCATGCGTTTTCATCTACGGCCCATGATGTGTACCGATGTTAGCTTGCATGCAATCACTACTGGTAGGAAGGAAGAGATGACGAACGAAGAGGAGAAAGATTGGGGACGGGAGAGGGCGCCGACCAAGCGGCGACTGGCACGCCATTGCTACTACATTCATCGATTTGGCGACATATCGATGATCCAAGATCATACTGTTCATTGTTACCCCATCAGATACAAAGCTGCATAACAGCCAAATACACTCTTTCATAAGACGATGTCTTATCCTGCACCCATTGCCGCATTCCTTTCACCTAAGATCCAGGCGCGTGCCTTACATCCTTAATCGGCGCATCGATCCAAGCTGCCATTTGGTGATTGGGCTAGCCCGCCGTGGTCAAATTCGTGCTATACTGCTTACTCCCAAAGATGCAGCTCTAAGACAATGATATATTGACAGGCCCAACACCGTATGTTTCATCGATGGACTGTTTTCATGAAGAGATGGATGTCGCTGGTATTAGAGCCTTGACATCTTGCATACTCTGCACATTCACGAATGGAGAGAGATATGCGTGAGTTGCCTATCAGGATACCACCGAGTGCAGCAAGTGAGACTTGGATGCTGGTCATGGGCGATAACGCGCGATATCAAACCGGAGCGGCCTCTGCCTTTGATGGTGGCGCAGAAGGGTCCCATAGTAGTCTTGAGTAGCGAGGTATGCCGATCTAGGACACATTCGGTGCATCACAGTCGTAATGTATATGCTTCTCGCAGACCCAACCCCCTGGCGTCATACATGCAGGGTCGAGATCTACCCGCGCGCTCTGCTGACATCGCAGTCGGGATTCCGCTAGTATAATTCCTGCGGTAGACTGTTTCGTATAGCATTATGCCACTGCTGTGGCGTAAAGAGTTTCTCGCCTCGTGTCGCACGCCAATAATTTGTCGTTTCGTACACCTCCGGACATCCACTCAGCAGCCAGCCCCACTTCTGCAGGAATATCGGATCGATTTCCCAGCTGCGATGGTCTTCTGGCGGTCCCCAAACTATCAGTATGGGATTACGGTCCAGATGATTGTACTCGCAGATATCATGGCATAGCGCATCTTCGTAGTCGATAGGCTCCGTGCGTTGGAAAGCTTGCAGCATGTTGTCTCGCACTTTTGGCCACGGGAACAGATCCAGCCATGGATGATGCTCTATAGAGGATTGAAGCTCAGTAGGCTGGAGACATGCTGGCCATTCTGTCCCTGCGTCGGAGCCTAGGAGCGGGCCTTGTTTATTGAGTGGTGAGATGCCATACCAATCGTAGTACTGCGCAGTAACACCTAGTATATCGGCATTTCTTGCGAGGCCGCTGGCGACGTTGTATTTGAGTAGCAGCGGCAAGTGGGACAGGGCGGGTGTGCCTTGCATGTAACTGGCGTAGGCATGTTCGGAAAAGCGGCGCATGAGTTCCTGCACCTTTGGGTGGGCGGCCATGCATGACCTCTGCGCTATGGCGACATCTGGGTTGCTAAGATCGTCTAGGGATAGGTCGGATGTGCTGCAACTGCCTTCACGACCCGACGTGTCGCTCTCGTTGGCCTCTTCTGGTATGATAACACGGCGGGGCTGTCTGGCTGGGGCATTTTTCTTTTGTGCACGGTTTCCTAGTAACATGTTAGAACATGCTTTCTTCGTTTTTGGCGCTCGATCTGCAGGACAACTTACTCCGTGCTCTCTGGTTCAAGCGGTTCTGTAATTTTCGCCTCTCCACTGGATTGGTCACCCCCATCCAATCCTCCGTTTCATCACGGAGCTCGGGTCGCTGAGACGACCAGGCTAACTCAATGGGAGCATCTGCATAGTCAAACCCAGATGGCATCGGAGTTGCTGACATGGCGGCAGGGGAAAATCGTGTTTGTGAATGTCATCCTCCGAGCGGGTGCCAGCATATATGCAGATCGATGACAGTTCGCGAATCGGACCTATCTATTCAAGCCCCGCTTCGAGAAGCAGCATAGCCCCATCACGTTTTAAGGTGTTAAGGAAGTAGTGAGGCTCTCTCTGGCGCGATGCTGTTTTGAGAGTGTCAGCAGCGTGCATAAAGTCCGCGTTAGCTCCCATTAGCGTCTGGGCTGATGCACAAGTGCCATCAAGACAGCGGCCGGGTCCACTTCCCCGTCGCACTCGCTCTCGCGGTCGGAGTTTGATAGATCGGAGGTCTAAGAAGGGTGCCATGTCTTAGTTGTAAAGATTAGTGGGGATAGACCAGGCGTACCAAGTCGTTGATGAATTTTTGGGTGCAAGCATGTGGACTTCGCGATGACTTCACATATCATTCATTGGGACATGTGAGGCCTCAGCTTGCAAAATGCTCTGGCTGATGCCATTGAGAACAGTGGCCGTCTCGTCACTTCCGCTTCGCGAGCGGGATGATAAAGGTATTGCGCACGCTTCGTGGCGGAGTTAACATCATACGTGGTAACACGCATCGGATCCGCAGGTCTTGTAGCGTTGAATTGTTTCAGCTGAGACTAGTCGCTTTTGATTCATTGTATTTATTGCTTCGTCATCGAGAGATGAGTGATCATCCCCGATCGCCTGCACGTGGTTTTTCGATTGCTCCATAAGCTGTAGCGAGTACCGCATCTTTTGCGAACCGATATGTTCGGGCTTGTCCCCAGGTCTTCCCATTGGGTCTGCCGTGACTATTTTGCTCAGAGCCACACAGATCTCGCTTAAATGATCGTGGCTCATTTACCGGCAGCAGGGACGCGGTCCAGAGGGATAGTCTCCATGTCTCGGATAAGTACAGCTGGCCTGTCATATTCGAAAACAATCTCCAGCGCAGGCCTGCACTTTGTGAGGAACTCAAGGAACTCGCGACGGAATGCTTCATGGTAGACGCCACGGAACTCGAGGTACCGCAACTTCGGGACAAAAGTCTTATCTGTCAACCAGTCGAGTGTGCTGTTGAGACGAATGCGCTTGGATTTTTGGCCTTGGACGACAGTCAGGGTAACGGATTCGATGTTTGCGCAGTTCTTGAGGATAGTAGGGAATGCGGTACGCGTGAGCTTCGATGTGCCGTGAAGAGCGATGATCTCTAGCTGAGGCAAAGCTTTGGTCAACTTCTCTACGCCCGCGCTGGTGAGCTCAATGGCCTCCTTCCTCTCAGCATCTCCGGCGACGAAGACACGGACTGCGCTTCGGAAAGTAGCATCTGCATTGGCGATGACGTCGACAATGGTGCTGAATATTATCAGCAGGAGTTAACACGAATCTAGACAAAGTTGGACATACTCGTCCACGTTGATTCCAGAAGCGAAAACGATCTTTTGAACGGGCTTTGCAGTGCTATCAAACTTGGTCGATGCATCTACGTGCATAGTCTGCTCATCTGGGATAGCAGCAGGCTGGTACTCGATGGCCTTTCCCTTCCTTGCCTTTGCACGTTTCTCAAAGGCATCCCACGAAGCGTCGCTCGGGGGCTGAGCCATCAGGCGAGCATCCCACTTCTCCTTTGGCTCGTCCCAGGGTCCGTAGGCTTGGGTAGCGGGGATCTCATCGTCCGGGCTGGTGTCCGATCCTGCTTGGCGCTCTTCAATGACCTTGAGCCTTTGGAGCTCTCTCTCCTTCTCCTTCTGCTTCTTCTTCTTGGCGGATCCTGAAAGTGGCGCCATGATGTCGTTTTCAGGTATACGACGTTGGGTGACTTGAAGAAGCCAGGTGTCGAGGCATCAAAAGAAGAGATCATCGGAAGGCGGGGGTTCCCCACTATCATCTTACGCCTTGCCGCTCCAAGCCTAGTGGCTTTGCAACCCCTTCGTAGCTTCACTCTCATGTGTCTTTGGGTCTCATTTGTAACACGACAAACGGCTATCGCGCTGGCATCGGAATCCCGATTCATATCTGCGATAAGAACTTCACTCCTCAGATATGTCCGTCTCTGTCGCAATATCGGTAGACCTGGAGCGCGCATAATCGGAATAAAGTCCCCGGACACAACATCGAATGAAAGTGAGCCCGGAGTAGAGTCACCCGAGAGTTCATGTAGAAGAACGCTTCATCTGGAAAAGGGAGCATAGGATGCCAGTAACACCGCGTGTGAGCTTCCCCATACTACCTAGCGCTGAGCATTCTGGTTGCCTGGACAGTCAGCCTAGGTGACTCATCCGAGTCCAGGCCGGTGTTAGCATTCCGTCGACGCGTCGAAGATATGCTTATAATAAGGCTCGGAAGCGTATAAGCTTAAGCACAGCACCAAGCATCAATCTACCATTGCTTAGCCTCGAGATGTCACCATACGACTTCCACATCTCAACTCCCCGCCTCTACCTCTCCTACCTCGATCCGTCCTCTGACGAACACTGCGATTTCACTCTTGCACTTTACCATGGCGCTCCGTCTGTCCGTCGGTACCCTAGCGTAACTAAAGACGTACCAGATCGCGAAGCAGCGCGGAAGATCGCCGCTTCTGGAGATGAGAAGCTTCGTGCGACGGGCTATGGGCGGTACATCATCAGCTTGAAACCAGAGTCACACGAAGGAGACGATGAGACCGGAGTTCCATTCTCACAGAGAAAATTAGAACACATTGGGATCGTGAGCATGCAACTGGGACGTGTTGCAGGCGAGCAAGCACCCACCATGCCGGACGTCGGCTTCAACATGTTGGAGCGGTATCATGGGAAGGGATACGCGACGGAAGCTACACAGGGGTTGATCAAGTACTTTCGCGAGGAGAAAGGTGCGAAAGAGATTGCGGGTTTGACCGACGACACAAACGAAGAGGCGAAGAGGCTCTTCCGCAGACTGGGGTTCACGAATCATGGAGTCAGGACAGTACGTGGTATTCGGTGGTCGGGTGAAGTGCTTGACGTGGATCTCTGGACCTTGGGACTTGAGGATGGGAAGAAACTGGAGGACTTTGGATTCTGATCCGATGTTGCTGCTATTCTCGTTCTCCACTTCACATTGGGATCCTTTCACTACTGGAGTGTCGTTAGATGGAACCTTGTCTCATGCCTGAAAGTAATGATTACAGAATCGAAATCGTTCTGTGCAACCTCTTCTATGCTACCAGACATGATATCATGTAGTTACTCTAATTGCCGTAGTCTTGAGCTTAGCTCGAAGGCCGAGGAGATACATTCGTCTCGGGCATATCTTTACACTCCCCAATCTTCCCATCTTGCGACACGCTTCCCGCCTCCGTGTCAACTTCAATCCCATCCAGATACTCAAACCCAGTGACAACACGTGGAATCAGAGTCTGCCGAGCAGGAAAGAACAGATTACAGAAATAGTACAAGAATATGGACAGGAAGAACCCATACAGCCAGTTGAACGTGAAGAGGTTCCGGAGACCGGCCGAGAGCTTCAACTCCGGATTGACTTTGTTGGCTAGGCCTGGCAATAACGGAATGATGGTAACGAAAGTTGCGACAACAGCACGCCAGTTTGTACCGTAGCGACCATATCGGTAGATACCTCTTGGGTCGTATAAAGCGGGAACGTCGTACTTCCTGTGCTTTACCAGCCAGTAGTCTGTGAAGAGAATGCCGGCCATGGGCGCCATGAAGATGGCATATGCACTCATGAAGTTGAGGAACGCCTTGCCGGACGCTACGATAATCCAAGGACATAGCGCCCAGCCGCCGATGAATGCGACAAGAATCGACCCGCGACGCACATTGACGTACTTTGGCGCTAGTGTCGTGACGTCATTGGCGAAAGAGACGGCGTTCGCACTGATGTTGACGCTAAGCTGCCCAAGCAACCAGATGGAAGCACAGAAGAAGGCTGCTGCCCGGCCACCAGGCGTATCCCAGGTATCGATGATCTGTAGTGGCGTCCAATAGGCTGTGCCCCAGATCTCTTGGGCTGCGGATGCAGAAACGATCCCCATAAGAGCGACCATAGTCTTGAAGAAAGGGATTACCGGCATCTGCCAGTATTGCGCTGTAGGATCCTTGCTGAAGCGGGAGAAGTCGGGAATGTTGACAGCCAGGGTGCTGTATCCACCAGTAATGCTAGTCATGCTTGATAACCAGAGCCAGGCCCTTTCAGCGCCATGCACCGATGCCGGACGTGTAAAGAAAGTGCCATTACCGCCTGCTTTGACAGCGACCCAAACTGTCATTCCGATGGCTACGGGTGGTAACAAGATTGTCTTCACCCAGAACATGTACTGTAGCCTGTGCGTCGGGATGAGAAGGAACGGGAATTGGATGAGCCAATACAGGAAGTATGAGATCATCCCGGCCGTCGTAAGACCGACCGATGCAGGAAGATGATTGGGAATGTCGCGAAAGCTTGGCCAGATAGCGTTCAAAATCTAGGAAGCGATGTCAGGAGACGCATCCATCAGGTCATTTTTATTATAACGTACCGCGGTCACACATGTACCTCCGTTGGCTGTTTGAACCCCGAACCAAAACATAGCCAAGACACCTCTGCTCACAATGGCAAAGTAGCTAAACCAGTAACCAAAGCTGGCGCGAGACGCGATGGGGAACGGAATATGTAGGTTCGAGCCGATAGCGCCGTTGAGTACCGTGGGTAAAGCGTTGCATATACCCGCCACGAGCGTTATGAGCACGGCATCGGTTGCCGTCAGACCTATTCCAATCAATCTCATGCCCTCAAGATGACTTCGACGATCGAACACTTACCAAGTGTGAAAATGGCAGACCCTGAACTCCAAGTCGATATGGTAACAAGGTCACTGAACCAGTACGTTACGAACGCGCTCTTGCCCCAAGTCCGCTTTTCCGGTGGTACTGGCTCCATATCGGCATTGGTCCATACATCGGGCGGTGCGATGCTGCTGTTTTGCTTAGGAAGTTGCCAGCTCGATGGCTGCGTTGTGCGAAGCTTCATCTTCTCTTTTGCCGCGTGGCTGCGACTGCGTATGCTACCTGTAAAGTGCATCGTGAGGGGCTTCTGTTTTGTTATGCGCCCATGTGATTCGAGCAGTCTTCTTCTGAGCTCATCAAAAGTCGTTTAGCGATGAATATCTCCAGCCGTTCGAGTAAAGCGATGACGGATAGATAGGTGACCGACGATGTACTTCGAAGTTGCGTCCGAGTCCGATCTTCCACAAAAATAGCAAGCTATCCTCATCTTATGAAGTCAGGATATATGTGCTGCGTCTCGCGGCAGGTGTCAAAGATAGACAGCTGCGCTTACGTCGCACCGCGCTGAGCAAAAGATGGGGTAGTCTGGGCTGATCTTATCATTCCTCGTGACGTGATTGGGCCATACCTCGTCGCTATCATAGATAAGTATATGTTCCTTGCCCATATCGCTATCGTGTTGCTGCATTTGATGGGAGGTGTTCCTGCTGCAATGAGACCCGTTGAGATGATATGCAAGCGTGCGCCACCTGAATGGGGAGGATGAGAGCCGAAGGTCGGCCGGCGCTAGTGCCGACGCTTATCAGTTCGCTCCAGGGCTATCTCCAAGCGACCATCCCGCAACCTCCGTGTTTATCACTGGAAACTTCAATCTTCTCGACTATGGCGCCGGATTGTCCGCTTGGTCTCGACTTGGCATGGCATCTCATCCGCGAAGCAGGCTGACGTGCGCAGCTTGTGCGAAGCGGAAAGTCAAGTGCAGTAAGACGGTACCCTGCGACAACTGCATCAGACGAGGTCAAAAAGATACGTGCGGTATCGACGATTTGCATGGCGATGTAAGCTCTCCAACGCGTTCTTCCGACCAAAGATCATGTGAGCTCGACTATCTGCGACAGCGGGTCGCACAGCTCGAAAGCGAAACATGCCAGCGAAGCCCGACGAACATTGCGACTCCGCCCGGAACTCTGCAACCTGAAACACCAAACGATAGGCTTCCAGATGAGTCCGCAGATGAGCCCTACGACACTGCTGTTTCTCGAGATACCGCGACGGTACTGGAATTCCTCGCTTGGGGAAGAAGGAAAGAGCCTCACTGTCACACAGTCGCGTCCCTCGAACCCGTGGATGATATTCCGATTGAAGCGGGTTCAGGTATTTTCGATGACTTGTCCCAGCTTTCGGTGCTTCAACTACTTCTTCCAAGCCTCCACCAAGTTCGACAGTTGGTAGAATACCACCATGAAAGCCTGTTGTGGTACCATGGCAGCTACTTCGTTCCTACTTTCCAGGCGCAACTCCAAGATTTCTACGATAGAGATAATGGGCTCATCGAACAATCAACTACGGATCTTCAATGGGTAGCTTTATTATTCGCTACCTTGGCCGCTAGTCTTGTATGTGCACCCGATCTGCGAGCGCAAACATGGGGATTTGACATGGCCGAGCGACAGAAGCTCTCGCGACGATGGTATCAAGCTATTTTCACTTGCCTTAACCGGGCGGATTATACGAGTAACTTGAGCATCCATTCTTGCCAAGCTATAGCCACGGCAACCGTTTCAGCCCATCTCCTAGGGTTCAGTACAAAGCAAAGCATCCATCTCGCAACGGCTGTACGCATTGCTCAATCTTTGGGCATCCATCGCTTAGGGCCAGACTCCAGTGGAGGTGTCGTAGCAAATGAGACTGGTCGTAGAGTTTGGTGTCAACTTTGCAGTCAGGACTGGTTCAGCATACCGTTCTCGGAAAGCTACCTGGTCATTCCAAGATACTCGACATCAACCCCACCGCTGAACAGCCACGACAAAGATTTGACCGCCGTTGACGCGGACGTTCCTACTACTACAAGCTATTCTCTATTCTTGCGCAACATCGCGATAATCATGCCCCAGCTTCAGGACGGCCTCGTATCATGCAATACACCTTACACACGTTACGAAACGGTCTTGCATTGGGATGCGCGACTTCGAGAACTGGCCACTCGTGGAAGGCCAGTTTTCATGACGAATGCACCGTTGGATCCGAGCTGGCCCACGTGGGTACCATGGGCGCGGCGCGCTCTAGCCATTACGTCGAGTCACAAGATCATCATGATTCATCGTTCTTTTCTACTGGACAGTTTCGTCAATCCTGCTTTCGCGTTCACCCGCCGAACATGTCTCGCAGCCTCCAAAACGATCGTCAAGGAGTACAAGGCTTTGATCGAGGAAGATGGCCCCACCTTGTGGATTCATCAAGCATTTGCCGTCGCAGCATCCATCACGCTCTTGCTGGATGTACTACATCGCGAGATCAACGAGAATGAGTGTTATGAGCATCGTGCACTTGTTGAAGAAGTCTTGGAGATCCTGCAGCGGCGCCCAGAGAGTATGATTGCGGTTAGAGGCGTCAGACTTCTTAAAGCTTTGCTTGCTCAGGCGTCGCACGAGACCTTGTCCCAAAGAAGAAGAAAGCGTAATCGTGACGGTACACCCGCTTCCAAATTCGACGTCTCGACCCTCGTTAGGAACTTCTATCAGACCAACAATGGCGACAGCCACCCTTCGCTACGTCCTGCAGCCACATCAGGATCTACTACCGACCAACCTCCTACATATGACTCGGAAGAGAGCAATCCCCTCGCCACCATGCTTGAACAGCCGCAATCTGCATTTGCTTTCTCGGCCTCAGGCTTCGCAGGTACCAATAGTTTTGATGATCTTCTGTACCTAGCGAATTACGATTTCGCGTTGGCGTAATTTCTCGTAGCTATCCCTTCCAACTGGTAGTATCCAGCGCAGCGTAGCTCGATACGAGATGAAAATCGCATTTCACATCAGTGGCGCGGTCGATTCGTACGTTTGCTGAGTCAATCTGATTCATTCGATGATGGCTTCCATCAGTTGCTGCACCGCTTTCTCAACCCCCGGGAGATCCTCCAATATCGGCTGATGACCACTTTTCACAACATGCACCCAGCTTCTTCCTCCAACTAATGTACTGAGATCTTGCGACCGCTGCACTGGGCTGATCATATCCTTATCTCCTGCCACGAAAACTACAGGACATGTGATGTCCTGGTATTGCGGATCTTTGTGG